CAAATTGTTGTTCCTCCCGGTTCGATTGCTTCAGAAGTAAGCCTGAGATCAAGCCATTCGAATCATACAAAGGCTGAAATTTTGACTTTGGGTGAGGGCCTTGGCACAACAGGAATTTATAACTCATAACTCATGGCTCATGGCTTTGGAACATGATTTTTTGCACCAAACAAGCGTTGCTGTCATTTTCAGAGGGTTCGATGACTTCTGGAATGAGTTCTATCTGAAGTCAGGCAAGTCAAGTGAAGGCTGAAAAAATCAATCTCAGAGGGTGAGGCGTCATGACGGGGCAGTCGATTTTTGAACATGATTTTTACACATTAAATGGGCATTACCATTAGATTTGTGTTTTTCAGTGACCTCAGAAACAAGTTCAAGATCAAGCCATATGGGTCATATGAAGTCCAGAAAAATCAGTCTTAGAGGGAAAGACAGCATGGCATAGGTGGTTAACTTTAGAACGTGATTTTTTGGACAAACCGAGCATTTCCAGTGCATTCAGATGGTTTTATAATCTTGAGAACGAGTCCTAATCAAAGTTGGACGACACGTATGAAGGCTGAAAAATCGACTGTAGGGTGAGGGCCTCAACACAACATGGAATTTATAACTTTGGAACACGATTCATCTGAAACGATGAGTGCTGCTGTTGGATTTAAAATGCTCATTAACCCATGAAACAAGTTCCATCTGAAGCTGGGCAAGCTGTGTGAAGTCTGGGTGCAGTAGGCAGGAGGAGGAGGTAGCACGACTCTGGAACATGATTTTTTTGGACCAGACGAATGTTACCATCGCGTTCAGATGGTTTAATAACCCCAGAAGCAAGCTCTGTTTGAAGTTGAGCAAGTCATATGAAAGCTCAAAAAATCAATCATTGGGTGAGACAGCATGACAGGGGTGACACGAGCAAAAGCGGTCAACTTGAAGATAGGTGGACAACGGCTAATAATTTGGACTCCATTTACGATGGACGAATGACCATGTCTTGTGGTAATGGATCACAGGTGTATCACAGTCACTAAATGGGATTCCATGACAACCTTCACTCTCGGATCAGCCAATGGGAAAACTGTGATTCCTTACATCCACTCGCCAGGCTTTGGGATGGCATGCTCGAAAATTGAGCGAGACATGGATGGAAAAAAGAGGAAGTCTTTCTGGCTCAAGGACAAGAAACCATGCTCCAGGAGCTACAAAGTGAGCTGAAGAAGCTACAACTAGTGACTGCTACCAAATCACCCATTCTTGCTGCAGAGGCAGAGAGAGGTCCGGAAATCCATCGTATAAGCAGCAAGAATGGGGATGTAAGCTAAGGGACGTGAAAGTAAGCGAAGCCTCAAGCCTTGCTCTGACTAAACAAGTGAGGCTTTTGGATGAGCTGCTTGCTTTAATGGCACGATTTGATTTACATTGTTCGATCACCTCGGGAATAAATCTGATATCACGCAATGCAAGTCATGCGAAGGCTGATACAACTGATCTTTGAGTGAGGCAGCACGACTGGGAGTGGCAAACTTTGGAACATGGTTTTTATAGATGAGATGGGAACTTGCGCTCCATTTACATAGTTCGATGACAATAGATAAAATTCAAAGATCAAGCCATAAGCACGGTTCATCTCCTCAAGTTGCCTGTACTGATGTAAATACCCCTTGGTGTGACAAAGGGTTTTCGCCCATTTGAGCTCTGCAGTTGAAAAAGACTTACACCGAATGGACCCCTGGGGTGAGATTCACTTCAACCAGGTAAATCCTTCCTGATGATGCCAGGGCTTAACAACTATCTTATCTCTGACTTGTAACAGCATCCTCCCCTCCTTGTTCCTATTTCTTGAGCCAGGGCCTAGTTAGAGACACTTTAGGGCCGACCACCACCTCCTTAGGCACAGCAACTAGGTGGCCAAAGACCAAACATCAATCTTCCCCTCTACAGATTTGTTGTTTACCATACCACCGTCAGTAACGCAACAAGAAGAGAACTTAAACAATCTTCTGATGTTGGATGTCTTCCATCGTCCATGAGGGTCGAACCATTGTTGTTTTCCTTTGTACACGGAGCATGCAAAACTCGAGGGACACCCACAATAAACGAGACAGGACATTGAAGGGAGTGGAGCAAATTAACTTGGTACCACAAAAATAATCTGGGTCACACAAAATTATAAAGCTTTTCTGCCCAGCAATAGATGAAAGTCCCCTGGCTCAACATACAGTTTTAGTGGTGTGTTTGTGTATTGCGAGAGAGGTCATTCGTAAACTGTTGGGTTTGATGTCCAGTCTGATGGCAGTTTCATAAATTCTGCACTATGAAGAATTGAATGGAGGACTCCCTGATTCGATCAGGAACGCAATGGGATTTACCAGTGCACTACCAAGCTATATCTAAACATAGATTCAAGTATATCGCACAGAAATCCTACGGTAAATTCAAAATGTAGGTGGCATGACTTGGATGATGGTCAACGTTTGAAGCTACTTTGTTGGTTTCACCCCTTCATATTCAAAATAATACCAACAATATTTGCATCTCGTGGCTTTTTCGAGGTGAGATCTTGTCACATCATTTTTATCACAGAATAAACATAGTATTCGCCAGGAATATAGATATGTGCTGATCCTTCAGTATATTCGCAGTCAATTCTGTCGCCAGTTACACCCACGACCACTGGAAAAAATGTATTTACTCCACAGTTCACCTCACATTGAATGCTCTACGACAGTAATGCATCTGATCTGAGGTGAACCGCGAAGCTAAACTGATCGATGACACAACTTGGTGATGAAGCTAGGCCTTCCAACTTCGGTATGGACGTCTTGACAGCTTGACCATCTGGCCTATGTGCAATGCTATCCATGCTCGATGTGGTCAGCCAAGACGTCTTCGATCTGTTCATGGATGAATGGTAAATATCGCAGTAACATTCCCAGTTCTGGTATCTGTTTGTGGAGGGATGGAGAGTTCTGTGGTTTCATGCCCAGTCTTCGTATATGGCACAGATGTCTGAAATCTGTTCATAGAGGCATTGTCCGTGTGGAAGGGCGATACCTAAGTTCAAGTAGTTGTCCTGAATATCCAGCATCTGTCCATAGATGAACTGGGAATTAGGTAGTATCATACCCAAGCTCAAGGAAATGACCAAAATATCTGGCATTGTAGGAAAGAGGCAAGGAATACTGGCCTCTGTATCTCATAGGTGTTGGAGAATGGGACTCATGGCAGGTTGAGAAGGTGTGTTGGAGTTTGGAGTTTCGTCCTCTGGTTTAGGACTGATTAATGTTGCATTTGGGTATTGGGCAACCTCACCACTTCGTACCACATGCGTTGTGCTTGGCGTCGTATGGTCACTGTCTTCTTGACATTCGAGCTCCGTCTTTTGTATCTTACAAGTATCTCATCGTCTCGCTGTTTGCGTCCCTCAGTTGTTGTTCACCAATGCTGAGGTACGCGTCTTGTTCATCTTGCTAATTGTTTCACACTCACTTAAAGTCATCTTAGCGTACTTTCTAACAGGTACATCGATCGTGAATATAGTTGTTGTTCACCAACGCTGAGCGTACTTTCTAACAATAGGTAATTGTATGCACTCTCACAACGGAGGCAGACAGTTGTCTGTTCATTGTGGGTTGAGGCATTTATTAGTGCCATTTCCACTCCAAGTAGATGCCCCAGGTCTGTTCGTGGAGAGCTGTGAGGTGGAACTCGTGTTCGATATGCTCGTTGAGCTGGAGCTTTACATACAACTTCACTTGCCATGGCTATTCACTTATCATGGTGCACTACCACTGGCTGAATCCTTTCTGATACCATCACCCGATTGGTACATGGATCCATGATTGCGAGGTTAATCCCAGGATATTAAATCACGTGTCACTATGCAAACACCATGTGCACGGTTTTTGAGCGCATCCTACCAAGCTGGTCCCTAACAATTCTCCATGAGCTGGATGGTCGCTCAAAGGGGTTTCGTGCCCTAGATGTCTGGGACATTTGGCAATGACATGTCACTAGAAGTGGGCTGCCCACATGTTGGGGATCTATTCATGAAGTAATGGGGATGAGAATAGCATAAATCCTTTCTGATGAATCCCAGTTTTCATGACCTCCCACTTCATACTGATATATTCATATCACATCTATAAGCTAATTGACATCCATTGCATTGTCGCTTTCCATGGTTTCTCCCATGTCCATAGGAAATTTCCTGGACTTGCGAAGACGTGGAGGAGGGGGGACCCTTCTGTTTCTTTTAGCCGTGGTCATTTTCTTTTGAATCTCCCGACGCTTCTGCCTCTCTGTCTTCCTTCTCAAATTCCCATCGGTGTCGAATGGCTGTGAGTCCATTAGGTCAGCTGCAAATATGCGCTTTCCCTTGATCAACTTCATTGTACGACGTGCTCTTGGGGCTCTTCTCTGACTCTCGCCGCTCCTTCCAACACAGTCAATCCTGTAAAATGCAGGATTCGTCATGAATACTATTGAATTATTCTTCTGCGTCCACACTCTTGAACCGCTTGCAGGAAGACAGTGAATATCAGAAAACACCTTGCATAAACCTTGCTTCAGCAATTCCTGCTGATCCTCATCCATCGTTTTCATCGTCCTATGAAACTCTGCGATGTACCCATCTCCCTCCCACAGCACGGACCATTGAGCGTTGTCTTTATGGGAAGCATCTGGATCAGGAAAGAATATAGAGCACCTGTTCACAAATGCCCTTGACTTGGGACCCATGCGACCTGGTGTGACGCCCATATGGTCATGCAGCCCAGCATTACATGCTTCAAACGCGACTGCAGCTAGGGTGTCGTCGATGCTTGTTATTGTCCAGCACTTCATGGCCTCCTGGAGCGAGTTCGGGTATGGTCTGATGCCTTTAAAGACTTCGGGCATCAGCATGAGCCATACGTGTCTTGTGAACATGACGATCAAACGTCCAACAGAGAGTTGAGTGTTAGATAAGCTGGATGTCCATGTCCATGGTCTCATGACCATTGCAGGTGAGCTTGCAATGGCTGCCTTTAGTCGAGTCCATGTTGGAGTCCGGCCGATAGGATAGTCCTCCAGTTCTGACTCAGTATTTCGCCAAGTGTCCATCCTTCCAACCGCTCTATCCCTTTGAGCCTTCGCACTTACACCCATGAGGGCAAGCACATTCACATCATCTATTTGCTGCACCTCCTCCAGGCAGGTGTTGCTCTCCATATCGAAGTCCTGTAAGAAAAACATCCCTGCTGTCTCGAGGACATTTCGATATTCGAGGAGGGCAAGGGATTCACGGACATGAAAGTCATAGACGATAGGGGTCGATATAGTAGAACGAAGCATGTGGTTCAGCAAGCCAGTGAGAATGCCGAGATTGGGAGGATTCCTTTTGACGATGGATATTTGTGTCCTCTGAACCTCTCGCACCCGTCGCCTGATAAGCTCAAACCAGATCTTGGATGGGATCCACAAGACCGGATCTGACTGCAGATACTCTCTAGCCTACGTTGACATATCGCAAGAGTCATTCAGCTTACATGCCAATGATAAATGTAGTTTGAATCACCGACCTTGCTTTCGATATTATCTAGTATTACTCTGGCTGCATGTCCACTGACCCTATACTCATCCCTGACACCATATGTTTTTTCCTTGCAACCATCGATGACCTTTGCGATTTGAAAGCATTCAGCCATGTACGATGGGGATAGCTTGTATGCATCACCGTCAGATGCGAAATGCACTTGGTTGGTGTTCGTCCGGATGGATTCGTAGTATAGGTTGTATGTGCTCCTGAATGCGATATGGGTCTGCTGAGATCTCTCCCGCTGCATCTCAGCCTGCAGTGCCCCATATCTAGAGAGCGTGTTGTGATGGTGTATCTCCCCTCTCTTGTATCCTCCTGCTCCAAAGGATGCTTCCAATGCATCTAGTCTCCACACTCCTACAACTGGAACATCTGGGGAATGAGGTGTGAATGAGATCCCAACATCCACCAGGAGTTCGCCATGCTTCCGGTTCATCATATATGGCCAGTCAAGGTCGGACAGGTTTCGACGCAGTGCCTCTTCCGGTCCCAAAAAACGCCCCCTTTGACCATCCTTCGTGAGGAGCTTGATTCCCTTCCCTTCTAGAATGAAGAACAAAGACCCATACATGCTGAGCTCACCCTCTCCATCGTGTATGCGAGCTTCCATACGTTCCTGCACGTCTCTGAAGTCATCATCTGACAGGGGGATCGTCTTTGGCTGTCCCCATCCGCCTTTGCGTCCATCCACACCTCTGGCCTTGTATCGTGCCTCCTCTAATGTGTGCTTAAGGTAAGGCGCCCAACTGACATCAGTGCAGTCTCCTATGGATGGAAGCAGCACCCTGTCCCAGAAGATGTCCAAAACCTCCTTTGGCATGAGCGTGATTCTCCGGCCATTCACTGGGTGTTGATGTATCATCCTTGGGAACGCGACGTATAGATTGAGTGTCGATGAAGCGGAAGACATGCGCCCGATGCAGGTGTGAGGGATGGCAGACATCGGAAATCTTTTGGATAGCCATTCCGTCCTGCCACCAGCCATACTGGCATCTGCTTCTGATTGTGGAATTGTGATGTCGACATATGTGTGATTGTGCTTGAATATGCCAGGTTTCGTTTGAAATGGTGGGGTAATATAGATGCCCACGGATCCCCTGCATCGGAACACCTTTGTGGTCCAGATGATGCTGTCTATGTCCACTGAAGTCTCTATCTCATCTTCCGAAAATTGAACTGCATCTCGTTCAAGGTCGACATACAAGGCTGGTCCATCACCATCACCATCACTGGTGTGGCCACGCACAAAGGCATTGTGTCCGAACCTACATTCATCATGTAGTGGGGGGTCGTATTGGGCACAATCGATGAGCTCAGAAGCAGACAAGATTTCTACATCGGTGACCTGCGTGTGGTGTCCTTCTCCCTCTGACTCTCGCCGATCCAGGCTATATGCACCTGTTACGCGGTCTGGAACCTGATTTGATGGATCGTAGGAGTCGGTTGTACCAATGGGCATGACATGGTCCATGGTAGCTATGGGGTCGCATTGATAGAACATGTGGAATGAGCTAGGAGTGATGCGCCAGCCATGATCAACCCAGTCCACCCAAGCGGTCGAGATCTGGATTCCTCCACCCTGGAATGTAATCGCTGTGTTGATGTCCCTTGGAGCTACTAACATCTCGATCGTTGGTCCGCCTTCATAATCGTCGAACGTGCGGTCATCCTGGAGCCACCTCCTACCTACATATGCAGCCATGGAGAATGGTGCAACTGGACGTGGAAATCGTTTGTTGCTTCCAAGATGCCAGTGCTTGACTCGCCTGCGAGATGCTGAGGCAGATATGGATCGTTGTGAGTCAATGGCACTATGCACATTTGGTGACATGTCTGGCTCGAGTTCAAGGTGCGTCCCAATTGCACGAGGGACCACAGAGTTGCGATTCCGAGATCCAGTCAGTTGTTTGTGTGATTTGAAAAGCTTTGCAAGGTCGGCCTTTCTATCTGCAGGTAGGGCCGTGCCAAGGGAGTCCTCGTCATCACTACTTCCAGCTTCGGAACCATCCTGATGGTCTGGGGATTGATCTCTATTCTGTGCATCGTGTGCAGGGCGTTCGCTATCCTGATTGTCCATGGGACGTTGACATGCGGAGCACGTTGCGCTCACAACAGTCAATTTCCGCAGGAGTTTTAGACATTCCGACTGGTAATGCCCATTCTGAATCGCATTGATGATGTCTTCATTTGGCAGCTCATCTTGTCGCCAATCTTCTCGTGAGGTGTCGAGGAGCATCAAATAGTCGCTACAGCAGAGTTTGATGCGCCCAGCAATCACACGCAACATGTGAATGCGCAGTCTGTGGCCACACTGAACATGAAACGCTGGCAAGTCACCATGCTCGTCTAATCCAGAGGTGAGACATTGCTCAAGCACAGAGCAAGCGATTGGACCGCAGTCCACTCCATTTTGCTCCCAATTCACGGATATCACAGATACATCAGTGACATCCCCCGTCCTCCAGCCATGAATTGCTGCGATTCTCCTCCAATATTCCGGTCCTCTCCACTCGGTCCAGTCATCTTGATCTACTCCACCTACGTCCATTGCATCGTTGGAAATATGGCGACCAAGGACGTGCACATTGCGTCGCTGGTAGTCGAAAATTACGGCAAAGAAATGTTGGGAGTGATGGACTACGAAACCAACAGGGAGCAGAGGACATATTCCATTAGGAGGCAAGAAATTGTTTCTCCTGAAGAGCTCTACTCCTTCATCCTCGAGTTCATTTTCCCTTACTGTATGCAGTCCAATATATCTCATGCGTGATCTGCCAAGCAGCTCATACCACACATGAGATAAATAAAAGTCTGCCACTGTCATGTCAAGCCACTCATGTGACCCAAGGGTTTCCCAGGTGTCTAGAACAGATGTCCAAACAACTGGTCGGGCCATTGCGTGAGCTGTGATAGGGAAGAATAAGTGCGTCATGTTATGTAGGAATAATTTATGAACG